TTAATTAGGATTAGAATATATAATATAAAAAAAGAATAGGTATAATATTGTCCATGGAAAGTCATTCCACAACTACCACTTTTAAAAGGGAGTATATATATAATATAATATAATATAATATAATATAACTTTAAGAAAACATAGTTCTTTCACTGGAGCGTTTGGCAACCGTGACGTTTTTGTCGTTTCTGTTTTTTTTAATAAAAACAAAGAAACGCGTTTGACAACCGAGGCATTTTTTTGACTTGTCCATTTACAAAATCTAAAAATTAAACATTTTTTTAAAGATCAAAAAAGGTGTTTTGAGATTCCGTTTTTTCATCTAAGCGCCATCGCCGCCCCGCTCGTCCCGTCGCTACCGGCCCGCCGCCACCCCGCGACCACTGTCCGGCCCGTCGTCCGCACCGCCGCCGCCGGCCACCTGCCGCCACCACCGCTACCACCTCCGCCGCTCCCCGGCCCGCCACCGCCGCCACCGCTAAACGCCCTCGGTCGCGCCCGTCGCCCGCCCGTTGGCCGGCCACCGGCCACGGCCACCCGCCGCCACCACCGCCGCCGCCCGCTGGCCACCCGCACCCGGTCGGCACCCACCCTCTGTCCGCGCCGCGCGCCGGGCACCCTCCACCCTTTTCGTTGTGCCGCCACCACCGTCACTGTTCTGATGCCAGCTCGCAGCCACGCCAGCCCGCAGCACTCGCCATCGGCCGGCACCCGCCGCTGCCACCGCCTGCCGGCCACCCGCACTCGTCGGCCGCCGCGCCGGCCACTCGTCGGCCGGCCCCGGCCACTCGCCGTACCCGCTGGTAGCTGACGGTCGTCTGTTCGCCTGCCGGCCCGTCGGTCGGTCGCCGGCCAACCGCCACCCGACCGCCGCCGCCGCCCGCTCACTGCCTCTATATAAATGGTCAAACTAGTTTGACAAAAATGGTGTTTTCAAAACACATTTGAAAAAGAAACACCATGGCATGGTGTTTTCTACAAAAACAAAATAAAAAACACATTGATTACCAAACACACAGTTTTGATCAATCCGTTAATTGGTACGTGCTAACTAGTACTGTATATTTAGACTTGAAAGTCTGTGTTCTTCAATAGATACCTCGTCATGAGCTTTTGCTCGGGTTACAACAGTATACATTCTATTTATTTTTACTTTGCAATGTATTTCTCCTTAAAGCTCCTTCGTTTCTCATAAAAGTCCTTTGATTTGCTAAAAGACCTTCATGTTGTTATTTTCTTAGTTCGATGGTTGGATTGGGTTTAATTGAGATAAAATCTACTTCTCTATACAAATGGAAGAATTCAAAATTCACTATTCATGCTACAGTAAATACTACTATAAAATTTCCTGTAGCATTATCAATGCAACAACCAGGAAATTGGATATCACAAATTTTTTTTAAAACACTGTAGTACACGAGAATACTGTAGCAATTTTAAAAATTTGTAATAGAGGCGAGAACTGTAGCAGCCCAAAAAATTTTAAATAGGGATTACTGTAGCAGGAAAAAATAATATGTCGTGCTTTGCACGGTATTCACGACTAGTGTTTAGGAATTAGGGAGCTTCAATCCATAAAGTTTTTGTGCCTCTTCCCATGCGAATAATTCCTAACTGAATTTTTGGGCGCCTAAAGCATTACTACTATGTTCTTGCATGCATGACTCTATAGGACATGAAATTTAAAAAGTGTGATGGTTGTTGGACTTGTAGTTGTACATATTGTTGATCGAGCTCCACCAAAAAAACATTTTTGTTCTTTTTTGCATCATAACCCCTCAAAATTTCTTTTATTCCACTACATACCTATAATATTTTTCGTTTTAACACCAAAAAGAACTCCATCAAGTTCAGCACCATGCCAAGCAAAGTGACCGGAAAAGATAGCACCATCGCTCAGATATAAAAAAAATTATCGTAATAATAAATATTGAACAGGACCATATTTCTCGTAAAAATGTTAAATGTCCAAACATGTAAAAAGTTTACCCACGGTTCTTAAATCGTCACTTCACCTTAAATTAACTCGATAGCTTTGTTGTTAGCAACTAATTGATTAATTAAGTAATTAATAAAATAATAATAGTATTCTGACTCATCTCCGTGAGGTAAGAATCTCAATAGATGCATTTGGATCTTCACAAGTTACAGGGATATTAATCTAGATTAATTACAAATAACCTTTTAATCTATAATTTATTTATGTGCCCATCGAACTTGTTTAGTAGCACTTAAATAATGTTAGGGGCACACCCCCTACCACACCACCAACCACACCCCCCTCTCGATCCTATCGCTGCAGTCGTAGCACTTATCATCTTGAAGCCGGTTTTTATTATTTTAAGGGTAAATTGCATTAAACCCCCAAGAAGTTTCATTGTATTAAGTTCTTGGAGTCTAGTGTAATTTTACCATATTTTTAATTATAATCAACTGATACTAATTAAATATTATAATTTACTTTAAATTTTTAATATTTATTCTACATCGTGTTTTTGCATTTATGTAATTCTTTTTCATTTAATATTAGTCAATCGCTATAATAAAATCTACCTTTTGAAATCAGACATGCTAGCTGCCACTATAAGTACTTTTCTTCTTCAAAGATTTTTCTAATAGGTGTCCCTGGGCACCTGTTAATTTGGATTAGTGTTGCTGTATATGGATAATCCCCTCAATTAGTGTTTAACTGCAATTATGGATCACATGCCCATTAATTCTACCATTTATTAATCGTTTCAAGTCAAAGCACCGAAAATTTTTTTCTCTCTCTCCCCCCTCTTACTACCCTCCAGGTGACATATGACCTTCAAAGTAATAAAAAACAAAAACAAAACACGATTTATTTTTAGAAAAGAAGAGTTTAATTGCATTGTAACTTCAAGGTAAATATAATTTTTTTTTATTTTCTACAAAATTTGTATATTAAGTAAGTATTCTTATGTTTGTTTATTGATAAGTTCAGCAATATAAATACATATTTCACGTACATTTTTTATTTTGTCAGACTTTATGTATTTGGAAAAATGTCAAACCTTAAGTCAAATGAAAAAAAATTCCATGCATTAGATCAAATATTAAAACAATACATTTGTTATTTGATTATGGAAAAATCCAAGTTCGAGTTATCATATGTCTATTCTTATTGATCATAAGGCTAGTTACAATGGGGTAGTTGAATGATGAATTAAATAGTTGAATGGGTGTAATGGGGGTGTTGAAAATGAGGTGGATTAAATAGAGTTGGAAGAATTCAACATGTTGAAAGAGGAGGGAGTGGAGCCCGCGCTGGACACGTGGCGGTCAATTATTTCCCTCTAATTATTTGGGGTCAATTATTTCATAGTAAATGAATTTTTTTTTTTCACCAAAATTCATCATTTTTTATACTCTATAAATAGAGCCTTGTTTCATTTCATTTGGACACAGAAAAAAAAACTCATTTTTTCCCTCTAATTTTATTAAACGTGGTGGGGTAGGGTGTTGAATTTTATTAAACAAAAACCATTGTAGAGTGTAAAAGTTGAGTGGGTGTTGAATTATTAGGTGGAAGAGAGAGAAGATGATGTGGAGTGTTAAAAAGTAAAAAGTAGGGTGTTGAAAAACAAAACCATTGTTGATAGTCTAATAGGAGCTCGTGATGACAGAGAACAATGAGGGAGAAAATTCTACGAATTATCATGTGTTATTGTGCATTAATTGAGTTGAGATAATCAATAAATGGTGGGATTAATAGACATATAATCCTTAATTGCAATTAAGCACTAATTGGAGAGATTGTCCATAAATAGCCAACCTAATCCAAATTAAAGTGTGCACAAGGGCACCCGTTAAACCCTTTCTTGAAAATATATTTTTTCCCTCTCTATATTTACTTGACATTTATGCTTCTTTAATTTGACTAGTTGTTATAATAAAATTGTCATAGCTGTTGGAAAAAAAAATGTTATATATCATATCATAAAATAGTTGTGACCCTTATCAAAATTTTAAATTACAGAAAAAATTGAAAGGATAGATGAATCAGTCGGAAAGTTGTTAATTTGATTAGTTAGAAAACACATGTGTATGATTGTTACGAATTTGTAATTTTAAATTAGCATACGCATAATAGACAATAATAACTTATTTATAATATTATCAAAAATATTTAATTTTCAAAACATGGCCATAGATACAGGTTCTTGATACCTTAATTTTAAATCAGTATAAAAAACCTTAATTTTAAAATTAGTGAAAAAAACCTATAAACTGCTTAACACATGAGTTTACAAAATAGATGGACTTTTCTATAAAAAACTATGAACCGTACAATGTTAAAGTTCAAGATTCTACCCCCAATAGTGATGAAGGATGGGGCCTATATGAAATTTATCCTATTTTCGCCTTTGTACAGCAGGACCAAAGGGATCAATCAACCGTGTTATTCGCTAATCAATTTTACAAAGTTCAAGGGGTTCTGTGCAAAATCTCTAAAATTTAATGGATTTTTTGAAAATTGCCCTTCATCTATAGTCAACAAGACGACACGAACACAAATGCTAAAGTGGAAAGGTGAAACTATAGAAAAAAGGGAGAGGGAGTAAAGATGAAAAGATACTAAAAAAGATTCATTCACGCGAACCACATCTCTCTTCCGTACAAATGGGTGAACACAAGATTTACTATTCATGTTACAATAAATACCACAGTAGTATTTACTATAGCAGTAGCACTGTAGCAAACATGGAACTGGATTTTTGAAAAAGATACTGTAGTACAGGAGAATACTGTAGCAGAGGTGGGATATGACTGTACCTCAAAAAAAATAAAAAAACACTGTATCAGTTAAAACCGGGATTGCTGTCGCGGGAAAAAAATACACCTTGCACACTACTAAATAAAAGAATAGCAATTCGTAGCATGAACAAAATATCTTACTACCAATGAGGGGGGCCAAAAGAAGAAGCCAACAAAAGGATATACCAAAAAAAAAAAACAAAAAAAAAAGGAGATAAAGAAAGCGGCAGTAGAAAAGCTAGTGACCAGAGACCCTCATCAAGTTAATAATGCTGCTTAATAGAGTCTACAGTCGATTCTCTCTCCTCTCTATAACCCACAATCTCCCTCTCTCTCCTCCTCAAATCCCAAAAACCTGCTTTCTTCGATTCCATCGCAGGAATCCAACGAAGCCCATGAAGTCCAGCGTCGTCTCCAGGTTCTCAAATCTCGCGCCTCTCTGTTCTTTTGCCGAGAAGAGCGCGGTTAACCCTAATGGGTCCGTTGAGGGAGAAGGAGAAGGTACCCATTGATTCTTTTTATGTGGGTAGTTTTCGTTTGTTAAGATGCTTGGATTTTGACTGAAAAGATTGTATCTTGATGATCTGGGTCTCTGTAATTCTACAACTTTTATGTGGGTTTTGGTTTGATAATGGTTGTCGTGAAATTGTGCTCACGTTTCACGTGCAAAAATAATTGTTGCTTTGTACTTATCTAATTGTGCCTTTGATTGGTATATGATACTTCTTAAATGTGCTGAAGTCTATGATCAAGTTTTTCGGATTATAATTTTCCTTTGATTAGCTCAAGATTTCGCATGCTATACAGTGATTTATACTAGCTACTATGCCAACTGAGGGTTTTGAGAGTATAATCTTGTAGATATGTCCACATTGGTGCTAGTCCTCCTAACATGTATAATTGATATGCACGAATAATCAAGTCGTAACCGATCAATTCACCTGTGGTTTCATTTGGTGTAGATAATTGGTTGATAGGCCGCAGATATCGGCTGTTTGGTACTCAAATAATTAAGTGTTTAACCAATTAATTCACCTGTGGTTTTATTTTCTGTAGACAATTCATCTCTACCCAATGGATATCGTCTTCCTCCAAAAGAAATCAGAGATATTGTCGATGCACCTCCTCTTCCTCTGTTGTCATTTTCGCCCCACAGGGATAAGATCCTTTTCCTGAAGCGAAGATCTCTACCGCCTTTATCAGATCTTGCAAGACCCGAGGAGAAACTTGCAGGTGTGCGGATTGACGGGAGTTATAATGCACGGAGCAGAATGTATATAGTTCATCCTGAGAAATTTGTATTCAACTTAAAATGATAAATTATGCATCTCGGATTGAGTTTGAAATTTGTGCCCAGGTCTTTCTACACCGGGATAGGGATCCATTCTCTATCTGATGATGGCACGTTAGGTCCTGAAACAGAGGTCCATGGTTTCCCGGATGGTGCTAAGATCAACTTCGTTAGCTGGTAATTTCCAACTTGGTTCTTTTATATGCCTACTATCTCTAGTTTGGGTTAATTATGCAAAGCTCATTCCTAAATTTTCGTGTTGTTGCTAGCTTTATTGAGAGGCATCAGAACGCATCCAACTTCTGATCCTCTCCTATAAATGTATCTCAGTATCTTTGGATCTGAGAGCCATATAGTTCTTTTCACGTAATTTCGCAGCTATTAAGTGCTTTGGTCAAGCTTTCCGTGAAGTTTTATGCTGCATGGTCAAACTAGTTTGTAGCCAAAAATAGGATTTAGATTATTATGAGGGCTCTTTTGTGATCCCCTGCTTTGTTAAAATATTAAAATCGTGTAAATTGGCTATCGTCATTGCTGGAATTTTCTAGATACGTGCTAGTTGAAAAGCTGATTTTCTCATTAGGTTTCACTCTCTTCTTCAGGGATGGGATCCTGCTTTCCTAGTCTTATTTGTATGCATTTTAACATATTATCTATTAGATTATTGGTTTCTCATACTTGATTCTCTTTAAACTTTAAAGTAACACTATTGCATAAACCATATGCTTTCTGTTGTTAATTATTTCCTTTTACCAAACCAGGTCACGTGATGGTCGGCATTTGTCCTTCAGTATTCGAGTTGATGAGGTAATAAGATGAGACTTTAAGCTGCTAGTTCATCTTGTTGTCACCTAATTCTTGTTTAACATTTTGTATCTTTAAGTAGGAAGATAACAGTAGCAAGCTACGAGTATGGGTTGCTGATGTGGAATCAGGAAAAGCTAGACCACTTTTCCAATCACCAGATATATACCTAAATGCAATATTTGACAAGTAACTTTCAGTTTCCATTCTTGGCTAAACTTATTTTTCTTTTGTGTCCTAATTTTTCTATTGATGGCTATTACAGCTATACTTGGATCGATAGTTCAACGCTACTGGTTTGCACTATTCCTCTTTCTCGTGGAGCACCACCTAAGAAGCCCTTGGTTCCCTCTGGCCCAAAAATTCAATCTAATGAACAACAAAACATTATTCAAGTTAGAACATTCCAGGATCTTCTCAAAGATGAATATGATGAAGATTTGTTCGATTATTATGCCACTTCACAGTTAGTGTTGGCCTCTTTAGATGGGACAATGAAGCCCATTGGTCCTCCGGCTGTGTACACATCGCTAGATCCTTCACCTGATGAGAACTATCTATTAGTAACCTCAATCCATAGGCCTTATTCTTTCATTGTACCATGTGGAAGGTTCCCAAAGAAAGTTGAGCTTTGGACTACTGACGGGAAGTTTGTAAGAGAAATTTGTGATTTGCCTCTTGCTGAAGATATCCCAATTGCTTTTAACAGTGTGCGCAAGGGGAAACGGTCAATTAACTGGAGGGCTGACAAGCCTTCAACTATTTACTGGTAATCTCAAGCTTCATCACTGCTATAGCTTAGGTATGTATATATACATATGTGTACGCATGTATATATACATATGTGTACGTAGGTATATATACATATGTTGTACACATGTATATTTACATATGTGTACACATGTATATTTACATAGCTTAGGTATGTATATATACACACACACATACATATGTACATACATACATACATATACATATATGTATCTATGTGTGTGTGTGTGTGTATATATATATATATATATATATAATATTAGGATGTAGTCTTAGATTTTCATAATTGCCTTGCTTGTACTTTTTGCTTGTCAACTTTGGACAGATGAAATCTTTGTTGACAATTATGTTTGTAGTTTTGTGTTCTTGGCTTTTGTATAATTGTTTTCCTCCAGATATATCCTTATTAGACTTGAGTTTGGTAAAAAATGCTGAACTTAGAAATTCTGTTAGGACCACAAAGCATTCTTATCATAACTTGCAGTAAAGACGCATAAGATATCCAATCTAAGATGTATTTAACAAGCTACTATGTGTAATAAAAATCTTATGCAGAAATACTATAAAGCAATAAAGCTTGTGCAGAAATATTATAAAGACATGACATGAAATTGGTTGCTGTTAGATCTTTTGAGGCAGTGTTATTGATATGTTGGTAGCCATTGTTTGTGATGCCTCATAGCAAGATGCTGAGCACATAATAAAGACTTTCTTTCTTCTAATAATTAATTTCAATCAAACATTTTAAAGTAGATGTAGTTCACTTCATAATCTTGAAGTGATGAGTTAAACATTAAAAGGAAACCAAGAAATGAATCATCATCCTCAGCTAAGCCTTTCACAGTCAAAATTTTTCTGTTATGGTGGAACAAGAAGTTACAATTGTTCGTCAGCTTGAAATTGACCCTTGAGTTTGTAATGGATCCCAGCTATCTAAACTATGGATATGAGAGGGACTGCATTTGAATTCAGTTCCAGAAGACAATAAGACTTTTCCTATGGTTTCTTTGTTAACACACGTAATGACAACCATATAATTAACTCCTAATCATGCATACTAGCTTTCGTTATGTTTAGAATACTATGCTTGGTATTTCATATTTGTGTCATGTGAAATTCAAAATTTATATTCTGCTACATACTTGAAAATGCTTAATTTTCCATCCTTATTGCTGATTTTGGTTTGCTAGGGTGGAGACACAAGATGGAGGGGATGCAAAGGTGGAAGCTTCTCCGCGTGATATAGTTTATATGCAATCTGCTGAGCCTGCAGATGGTGAAGAACCTGAAGTTTTGCATAAACTTGATCTTCGCTATGGGTATGTATACAAGAAATACATAATTGGTCCATCACTTTTAGTTGTTTTAGTCTAAATATTTGCTAAGAACTTCCGGCACTCCATTTACAAATTAATGAATGTTCTGTTGCATATCTACGTATTTTGCTTATGGTGTCACCTTATAACTTCATTCTCCTTTTGGTATTTGCTCAGTGCTTACTTGAAGTATATGCACATGCTGGCGTCTTCACTGTACCAGGAAAATTCAATATCTTTAAGTTCTACTTTGTTTGTTTCTAGGTAGATAATCACCTAACAAGGTAGTCAATTTGGATACTTGTCCCCGCCAATTTCTGTATTCTGTGGCCCTTTATCTTATTCTAGTGTTCAGCTTTTTCCTGTTATTTATATGCTTATACATTTGGAGTTTCTTCAAAATCTTTGTAATCCATTGTACTGGTTGGTTTGTAGGTTATTTAAGATGTTGATCTTACTCTTTTAAAAACTTTGGATGAGAATTTTCACTTTAGATGCAAGCATGCACTTTTCTTCAAAATCTTTGTAATCCATTGTACTGGTTGGTGTGTAGGTTATTTAAGATGTTGATCTTACTCTTTTTAGAACTTTGGATGAAAATTTTCACTTTAGATGCAAGCATGCACTTTTCTTATCTGGCCGCCTTGTTGGATTAGCCTAATTTGTCCTCAGATGTCTTGGCACCTCATCCCATCAAAGTCTTTCCAACCTGCATGGTTTGGCTATGGAGTATTATAAGTCAAAAAGTTCTAGTTTTCCTCCGTTTACTTTAGTTTCTTTTTATCTTTGGAACACTCTTTGATGGACTTGAATGCGTAGAAGTGTTCACTCACTGGAACCCAAAGTTGGAAGTCAGTCTTTCTTGTTGGTTACCATTTGATAGTTTAAATGTATGTTTTTGGCAGAGGTATCTCTTGGTGTGATGATTCTCTTGCATTAGTGTATGAATCTTGGTACAAAACAAGGCGAACTAGAACATGGGTGATCTCTCCAGACAACAAGGAGGTGAATCCTCGCATATTATTTGATAGATCTTCAGAAGATGTCTATTCTGATCCTGGATCTCCAATGCTAAGGAGAACACCGTCGGGAACCTATGTTATTGCTAAGATTAAAAGGCAAGACAAGGGGGGTTATCTTTTACTCAATGGAAATGGTGCAACCCCAGAAGGAAATATTCCATTCCTCGACTTGTTTGATATGTAAGTCAATTTCTATTTTCTAATATGTTCATTTGACCAAATTACTGGTTTCTGCTATATAACAAAGGAAACTACTATTTCTTTTGCAGAAATACAGGAAGTAAAGAGCGTATATGGGAAAGCAACAAGGAAAAATATTATGAAACTGTTGTTGCATTGATGTCAGATTACAATGATGGAGAACTGGACATGGATCAATTGAAAATACTTACTTCCAAAGAGTCAAAAACAGAAAACACACAATATTCTGTACAAATTTGGCCAGAAAAAAAAGCATTTCAGATAACAAAATTTCCGCATCCGTATCCACAATTGGCCTCATTGCAAAAGGAAATGATCAGGTATCAGAGGAAGGACGGTGTTCAACTTACCGCTACACTTTATTTGCCTCCAGGTTACAATCCCTCGAAAGATGGGCCTCTTCCTTGTTTAGTTTGGTCCTATCCTGGAGAGTTTAAAAGCAAAGATGCAGCTGGTCAAGTTCGCGGCTCTCCTAATGAGTTTGCTGGCATAGGTCCAACATCACCTCTACTTTGGTTGGCTAGAGGGTATGATATCTCTCACTCTTCTTGAGTAGTTATTTTCTTATTTTTTGTAAAATACACATATATTGAAGATTAGCAAAGTGTAAGAACAAGGGGAACTCTGATAGCCGACTTGTCTGTTAAAATTAACATGTTATTGCAAATATACTGAAATTATCAGACATATGCTGATAGAAATTCACAAGTCTTTACCCCTCTTACACTAGTGCCATTGAAGGCTCGTATGTTCTTCATTTCTTCTGGTTGAAATTGATAAACAAGCTTATGGAAGATATATTGGAGAATCGCATGTGGTTAACTTACGAGATGAGCACATGATTGGAATGCACATTTGATTTCTCTAAAGTAGCCTTTAAAGACAAGCATCTAAATACAGTTAAGGGGCTGGGCTGTAGTTATGGGAAATAGGCATGAGGATTTTGGGGGCGAGTCAGAGGATAAGATCAAGGGAGAAACTAGTGGAAAAGGAGACAGAAATTTTGATATTTAGTTGTTAAATAAAAGATGAAAAGGGGTTTCTTGACCTATCCTGAGTTGAAGTCTGCTTGATGACATGCACAAGGAACATTACTTACCTCTTATGATTGAATTTCTTCATAGAGTAGAAGTCCAACAATATACTATTTGATATTTCACTATACCATGTTCAACCCCCTTGATAAGTGTAAATTACTTTTGTTTGTGGGGCTAGGCCAGCTAAGACTGTTATGCCAGCAGCCTGTCACTATTGAAGCAGTTGTTTTTATGCTTCCTTGAATATCTTGCCTTTCTTAGTGCACATGTCAATGATGAACCACCCCCATTGTTATATATTTGTATAACGTCACGAGTGTTCTTAATCTCTCATGCACTGAAGATACTGAGAAACTTAATGTGTTGTGTGTCTTAATATACATCTCCTATCTGTTAACTGGAGATTTTAATTTTCTTACTGAATTCAGATTATACGTTTCCTTTCTTGATATGTTGAATTATATACGTGTTGAATACATATGAGAAATTTCTCCATCTTCTTCCTTACAGATTTGCTATTTTATCTGGACCAACAATCCCCATTATTGGGGAGGGCGATGAAGAGGCAAATGATAGGTATGCTGGTATAGTTGTTTCTTACTATCTTCACTATGTTATTTAGCTTAGGATTATTGAAATTCAGGGATCAATGCTGTAAAATAATTTAATTTGGTGACAAATGCTATATATAGTATATACTAATAATTCTTGAGCTCTTCTGCCTGGTACTGGGTTATTTATTATCAACTTCATGCTTTAATCATCTTAAAATGAGTTTTTTTGGCAGCTGGCAAATGTTGAAGAGAAAGATTTGTACATAGAATAATGCTAGCATTTTTGGTATGCTTACATTCTTGATCAAATCTGCAGCCAGCACTATACATTTAGTGTTTCAGTTTTTTGCATGCCAAGAACTTGATTTGGGGAAACTTCAATATTTTTATTTATTGCCATGCTGAAACGAACTTAATATTTATTTATTTTATTTTTAACAAAAAAAATTGTTTTTGGCCTGAATGTTAATTGAACAGGACAAAAGACAGTAATATTATCCAATATTATCTGCTTGAACTATTTCTGAAGGCTATCCCATATTCCCCTGGAAAGAATAATTGGAACTTGCTCATTAGCTGAAAATCAAATAGATATTTCTGGACTTGTCACTAAATTTGTCTCAATATGGCGTTTGAATAGGTATGTTGAGCAACTGGTTGCTAGTGCAGAGGCTGCAGTTGAGGAAGTTATAAGGAGAGGGGTGAGCTTCATTAATTTTATCAGAATATTATTTGATCCTTTCTACATAAATTATCTTATTTGCATTTGATTTTTTCAGGTGGCACATCCCAATAAAATTGCTATCGGGGGTCATTCTTATGGGGCATTTATGACAGCTAATCTCCTAGCACATGCCCCCCATCTTTTCTGCTGCGGTGTTGCTCGTTCTGGAGCTTACAACAGGACGCTAACACCTTTCGGATTCCAGGTTGAGAGATTTATAAACTTATGAAAGGTTTTTTCCCCATATTATCTCATAAATCTACAATATTTTGTAATTAGTCATAAAATTGTTGAAATTACTATTGGATCCCCTAGGCTTATATCTTGCTATTGCTACTCTTTATTGGAGGGATTAATTTGAAGCCACTTATAGGAATTGGGGGACCTAATAGCTATTTCAATGATTTGAGGGGCTAACCTTTTGGAATTAGGAGACTTAGTAGCAATTTCAATGATTTTAGGGACTACTAAATATAGTAAAGATTTAAGGGACCAACATTGGAAAAACTCTTTTAGGGACTACTGAAAATAGTAAAGATTTAAGGGATTAATTTTAAGGGACAATTGTTCTCTGATTATTATATGGAATGTCTTTAATGGTTAGTGGCTTTCTCTATCTAGAACGAAGACAGAACACTTTGGGAGGCTACCAATACTTATGTCAAGATGAGCCCTTTCATGTCCGCAAACAAAATTAAGAAGCCAATTCTACTAATTCATGGTGAAGAAGATAACAACTCTGGAACGTTGACAATGCAGGTAGGCAAAGGCTCTTCTTTCTTGAGTTTTAATATTTTATTTCATAAAGCACTGAAATGATTTGTTCCTTACATTTATTTCTCAGACTCTTTCTTAACAAAAGTTTTTTTTTAATAACACCGCTCAGACAAGTAAATGAGGTAGATGAGCTGAGTCCATAGGTTACATTTTAAAGAAGGTTAAGCACATATTAAATAACTATTAGAAGTTCTAAAATCCCTGGGAACAAAACTAAATAGTTGAAAGTCGGCATGAAGTATTATGCTCTTGCAATTCACCTCTCTTACAAGAGTGTCCCAAAAACTTGGTCAAGAGCATAACATTCAGGAGTATGGTGCCGAATTTGACCATGACCAATCAGAATCATGTTAAAGTTCGGTTTTAGGAAAATTTGTTTGAACCAAGGTCGTGTGAAAATGATGAAAAAGGAAGAGGAAATGAAGAATAGTTCTGATGTGTTGCTAAGGTTTCAGAGAAGTGATCCAACCAGTTTGGTTCTTATAGGTGGTTCTTTGGTTCTCTGGAGCTGCATGCAACTAGGACCTTTTGGATCAGTTATTGTTGTTTGTTTTATTACCTAATAAATGCAGTTGCAACAATGCCTCCTATTGTAGCCAACAACTTAATGCAGATTTGGATGCAAGATGTAGTGGCAACATTTTTGAGCCGCAATGGGGTTTTGAAAAATTCAAAAAAAAAAAAAAAACATGATTTGTTAAATCAACCACCTAACACAATTGGAGTTGTAAACTGTAAAATTGTAAAACTGCCCCAAACAACTGCAACTACATGCGTCAGCATTATAGCAATTGCCATTGCTTGCAATTTACACTTGCATGGCAATTACGATTGCAATGAAGCAACGAACCAAACAACTCCTTACTTTGTTGAGTTTGGTTCTGGCTACAGCCATAGCGGTACAAATAATTTAAGCATTAAGCATTGTGTTTTAGTGTTTTAGAGCATATCTTTATGGTCTTGGTTTCGGTCTTCGTGAGATTTAAACTAACCAAACTTGAACTTAAATATCAAACTTGAACTTAAATATTTAAGTGTGATAAATATTTCGCATATAACCACTCCAAATTAATAGTATTTATAATCACACTTCATAAAGATTAAACATGAGTTATATCTTCAGAGATGCAAAGTATTCTTATACTCGGAACCTTTTTTAAATAGATTTACTGCAGTAAGTTATGCTTCATTTTACTTTTGGAATTTTTGTCTTTGCAATATAACACCCAATAAGCATCAAAGGGGACATGAGTTGCGGTTTTACAAATAGTAATCTCAACATGAAATGAGCGACAAATTTTTTTTTGTTTCCGTTATAATATTTACTTATTTATTTTCTATGCAGCGTTGGACCTAGAAAGAAAATAATACCACTATTAATGCTAGTCACTTTTGAAGTTCAAATCTGAGCTGTAACTGAAACTCCAATTGATTAGCTAAAACCGTTGCAAAAATGTGGGATTTTTTGTTGAAGTTGTGCATCCATGAGCATTTTTCTGTTGGCATAACCATTTGAGCTCTCAAATTCAATCATGCATTCTCTAGTTAATCATAATTACAGTTTTCTATAACCACACTTCTTGGTCCCCGATTTCCATGATATCTTTTTGTATCTCGTTCTAATTCTTTATCTTCATGCTACTGATAGCTATTTTCCTTGTCTTTTTCTCTCTCTCCCTTTTCCAGTCTGATCGGTTTTTCAATGCGTTGAAAGGCCATGGAGCCCTCTGCCGGTTGGTGATTCTTCCCTTTGAGAGTCACGGTTATTCTGCGAGAGAGAGCATCTTGCATGTGCTATGGGAAACTGACAGGTGGCTGCAGACTTACTGCATAGATAATTCAGATAAGCCTGTTGATCTCGATGCCCCTAAGTCTGACACTTCAGAGGATGTTGAGAAGAAGTCTTTTACAGCCAGTGGAGGTGTTCCAGATAGAGAAGGGCTCGAGCAGGACGAATCTCATTCAGTGACAAGATCGCTACTTTGGTAGGATTGATATTCTTGGCTAATTTTGTCTTTGTGGTTCAATGATTCTTGAGGGATTTAGTATAATTAAGATATTTCAGAGTTTCCTCTGATATCATGCTTTGATTATCACCAATACAGGATAAAAAAATACTAGCAGATTAAGGCTCTTACTCTGCGATTTCGTTCTCAAATGAAAAGATAGGAAGTATATTATTTAGGTAGGCTAGGTATGCTAGGTCCATGAAGAGAGTATAAGCTGGATGGCTTGCTGTTGGAGTATTTATGATTTTTTTACTTTTGTGAATAGAAGCATTTTTTTCTCGGTTATAGACAATGCTACAATCGGTAATCTATTGCATGTTCACATATTCACAATAGAAGGTACTGAAGTGCCAATTTTAGAAACTTCAGGCTATGCAAGTGCTGCTAAAAACAAGTGATGGTGTAAAAGTGCAAAGTAGGAGAAAGTATAAGGTGTCGCGCGCCTATGCGGAAGCGTTGCACGCACACACAACGAATTTGAGATCACGGAAGAAGAAAGCCACACACTTGCACAAACCAAGCCAATTACGACAAATCAAACCAAACACAGAGATATATGTGGTTCGGCAATTGCCTACCTCCACGGGGAGAGGATGGGGAGATTTCACTATATGGAGGAGAAATACAACGGGTTACAACTAACAAAATCACTCAAATATAACCCTAACCAAAGCTCTCAACTCCCTCACAATATCTCCCTCTCAAAGTGCTAAAAACAATGCTAATTCTCTCCTTTTCTCTCTTTTTAAAACCCTAAAAAACGTGGTCCTATTTATAATAAAACACAATCCCAAACAAAAGAGGATTCTAAAAACGAGTCTGCCACACCCTGCACCATGGTGTGGCAGAGGGTGTGGTGCAGGACAGATTCTGCCACACCCTGCACCGTGGGTGTGGCAGAGGGTGTGGTGCAGGACAGATTCTACCACACTCATGGCAGACACCACACCAGGGTGTGGTGGAGTCTGTTTTGGGTTATTCTTCACGTTTTTCACAATTCCTTCGCCGTTTTCACAATTCTCCACCTCGGCGAAGTGTTCCCAACACTGAGCCGACACCAACATGAGCACCAATGTGTCGTCTCTCTAAACTCGGCTGCACCAATGTGGTTGTCTACGTACCTCTTCTCCCAAGGGATCAAGCCACCCGTAGTTCATCCAAATGGCCGTCAACGACCTCAACAATCACGAATGTGTAACAAGTTTCGACAATGATCAAACTTGTTGTTCGGAACCACCTTAGTGAACATATCCGTCGGATTATCCTTCGTGTGGACTTTCACAATCTCCACATCGTCATTTTCAAGAACATCCCGAACGAAGTGATAACGAACGTCAATGTGCTTCGTCCTCGCATGAAAAACCTGATTCTTGGCCAAATAGATAGCACTCATGCTATCATAATAAATGGTGACGGACCGCTGCGATATACCAAGTTCCTCCAAAAGTCCTCGAAGCCAAATAGCCTCCTTCACAGCCTCCGTAACCGCTATATACTCTGCCTCCGTCGTAGACAAAGTCACCGTAGACTGTAAGGTGCATCTCCAACACACCGGCGCACGGATCAAGTAAACACATATCCCGTAGTAGACCGACGCTTATCCAAATTCCCGACATAATCCGAATCAACATATCCAATGCATAACTGCCCACCTGTAGTGTTCCGCTCATAAACCAAACCAACATTGAGCGTACCTCGAATGTACCTCAAAATCCATCTCACGGCGTCCCAATAACCCACTCCTGGATCGTGCATGTATCTTGACACCATGCTCACCGCCTGTGACAAATCCGGCCTCGTACATACCATCACATACATCAAGCTCCCAACTGCGCTCGTATATGGAGTCTTCGTCATCAACTCACGGTCTTCAACTGACTTCGGTGAAAGGCCAGCTGAAAGCTTCAAATGGGCTCTCAAAGGTACACCAACTGGTTTCGTATCCATGCTAACATGGAATCGTTGTAGAACCTTCTTCAAATAAGCCACCTGTGTCAAACAAATCTTGTTCTTCTTCTTGTCTCTGCCGATCTCCATCCCTAAAATGCGCTTCGCCTCGCCCAAGTTTTTCATCTCAAACTCATTCGAAAGCTGAACTTTCAACTCATCTATAGCTGACCTGGAACTAGAGGCAACCAACATGTCATCGACATAAAGCAATAAATAAATGTACGCACCTCCTCTCAACTTGCGAAAATACACGCAAGGATCAAACTGACTCCGAGTGTATAAATGACCAAGCATAAAACCATCGAATTGCCTATACCACTGTCGAGGAGATTGCTTCAAACCGTATAGCGATTTCTTTAACCTGCAAACCAACTTATCTTTCCCTGTAGCTCGGAATCCCAATGGCTGAGTCATATATATTTCTTCATCAAGATCACCATGAAAAAATACCGTCTTCACATCCAACTGATCTAACTCTAATCCATACTGTGCCACCAAAGCTAGCAGAATCCGATTCGAAGAATGCTTCACCACCGGAGAGAAAACCTCATTGTAATCAATACCTTCCTCCTGTGCATAGTCATTCGCAACCAACCTAGCCTTGAACCTCACTGGAGTGCCCTCAATGCCCTCCTTCTTCGTGTACACCCACTTGCACCCAATCGCCTTCCGCCCCTTTGGAAGCTCAACAAGCTCCCATGTATCGTTCTTATGAAGGGACTCCATCTCCTTCTGCATAGCCACCTGCCACGAATCAGCTTCCGAACTCTGCTCGGCCTCTCTGAATGTAGTAGGTACCATCTCATCGATACTCTCCACCGGAAGTGCATATGCAACTGTGTCGGCATACCGTGCTGGCACCTGTATGTCTCTTCTCTGTCTCCGAACCGCAATAGAATCATGAACCTGAGCCATCGGTCCCTGATCCTGCTCATGAGTATCCGTATCCTCCGCATCACCGTCGTGCTCGTCTAGCGTCACCTCAATCGGCACTCTAATGGATACTGCACCATCTGGACTCTGTGGAGCTGCATCAATCTCCACCACCTGCGAAATCTCCTCTGTCGGGTTGCTCTCCACCTGATGAGAGCTGGGAAGCTTCAAGATAGAAGCCTCATCGAATGTGACGTCCCTACTCAGCACAATCTTCTTATCAACTGGATCCCAAAGCTTGTATCCCTTGACACCACGCTTGAATCCTACAAATATGGCCTTCCTAGCTCGAGGTTCCAACTTATCAGTTTTAACATGATAATATGCAGGGCAATCAAATACCTTAAGCTGGTCATAGTCATGTGCTGTCTCTCCCGACCACATCTCCATAGGGGTCTTCCCCTCAATCGCAGATGAATGCAGCCTATTAATGAGGTGGCTCGCATAAGAAAGTGCCTCAGCCCAAAAGATCTTCTTCAAACCACTATGCGCCAATAAACATCGAATCTTCTCCAGCAAAGATCGATTTAACCTCTCCGCCACCCCATTCTGCTGCGGTGTATGACTAACTGTGAAGTGACTCTCTATGCCCTCATCTCGATATAGCTGCTGAAAGGGGTCTGAAGTATACTTGCCGTCGTTGTCGGACCGCAACGTCTTGATCTTTCTCCCAGTCTGCAGTTCTAATCTCTTCTTTCACTCCACAAATAAATCTAGGACTTCACTCTTATGCTTCATGGTGTGTACACCCAACATCGCCTAGAATAGTCATCAACGAACGTGACGAACCAATGTCGACCACCAAGTGATGCCGTCTTGGTGGGACCCCAAATATCTGTGTGCACGTAGTCCAAGATACCCCTCGTCCTATGAATGTCCGTCCCGAACTTCACCTTTATCTTCTTGCCAAGTACACAGTGCTCACAGAATTTTACTTTACCACTCTTGGCTCCCTTCAATAGCCCCTGCTTGCACAATGCCTGCAGTGATTTTTTACCTGTGTGCCCTAGCCTGTAATGCCAAAGTCTGCTCATGTCCGCCTCTGAAATAGCCGAAGCAACCTGGCCAATCTTGGTGCTCCCCTTCAGATAATAGAAATTACAACTGCGGACTTCCTTCATCACCACCAAAGATCCCTTAGTAACCTTCGCTACAGCATCCTCAAAGGTCACCCTGAATCTCTTCGCCTCCAAAGCTTCAACTGAGATAAGATTCTTCTTCAGTTGAGGAACGAATCTCACCTCCTTCAACTCACGGACTACTCCATCGTGCATCTGAATCCTCACAGTACCTATCCTACAAATGCCACAGGATTGATCATTTTCCATGACAACAACACCCCCGTCGAGTCTCTCAAATGATGAAAACCAATCTCGCCTAATCATTTTCCATGACAACAACACCCCCGTCGAGTCTCTCAAATGATGAAAACCAATCTCGCCTAGGAGTTACATAATAAGTAGCGCCAGAATCAATCATCCAATCCGATGCATCCAAATGGTTCACCTCCGGAGTAATCAAAAGAGAAAAACACGAATCATCGGAATCATCGCCTTTCGTAACGTTCACCTCATTGGCCTTCGGGCCCTTTTTCTTGCTATCCTCCTTCTCCTTGAGCTTCGGACAGTCTCTCTTCCAATGTCCATGTTTCTTACAGAATGCACATTGGTTCTTTGCTAATTGGTGGCGGCTTCTTGACTTTGACCTTCCTCTATTACCACCTTTAGGATATGAGCTTCTACCTCTCGTCGATAAGGCCTCTCCTGAAGTACTAGCGCGGGAAGTCTCCTTATCCTTCCTCCTCAAATCGTAGTTCGTCAATGCGTTAGTCACTTCACTATAAGTGATAGAAGATCTCTTGTTCAACAACGTAAGCACGAATGTATCATACTCCTCATCCAGTAAGGAGCCCAAAAGAATAATAGCCTTGTACTCATCCGTGATCTTCTCATCTACGTTCGCCAAGTCTGACAACAACTTAGTGTAGTTGTTCACATGAGCCGCAAGCGAGGTGTCTCGGGACATCTGGAATCTGAATAACCTACGCAGCAAATGCAACATGTTATCAACTCTCTTCGTAAGATACTTATTGTTGAGAATTTCCCACATCTTCATCGCAGACGTTACCCCAATCACATCATATTTCAGCTCCTGTTCCAAACAGGACCTGATCACCCCACAAGCATTCCTATTTATCTTTTCCCATACCGACTTTTCATATTTAGGTGGCCTCACATCGACCATGATGGTCTCCTCTAAATTTTGAGCATTGAGCGCATCCTGTACGTCGCTCATCCACAAAACAAAATTGATTTTGCCGTTATATTTCACTACACTAATCTTAGTGTTCTGAAAACCCACTTGAACTGTGCCGATCAACTTGCTGCTTTCACCAACTTCTTCACCCATAATCACAAATTCCAAATTGCAAGGAAAGATTCAAACTTTGAAAGGAATAAGAAATTACCCAACTGAACCCTAGATTGGATTCCAAATAGAACTCCTAACCACACGAGGAAAGCGAGATCTTCAACGGTAACTTCAAACCCTAACTCCACCAAAGCCTAGAACTCCAAGAACCAAGCTTCCAACTGGATCTTCCTCCACCTAATCCAAAACCCTAGATCTGAAATCTGAGCCCTGGTACCACTTGTCGTGCGTTTATGCGGAAGCGTTGCACGCACACACAACGAACTTGAGATCACGGAAGAAGAAAGCCACACACTTGCACAAACCAAGCCAATTACAACAAATCAAACCAAATGGTTCGGCAAATTGCCTACGTCCACGGGGAGAGGATGGGGAGATTTCACTATATGGAGGAGAAATACAACGGGTTACAACTCACAAAATCACTCAAATATAACCCTAACCAAAGCTCTCAACTCCCTCATAATATCTCCCTCTCAAAGTGCTCAAAACAATGCTAATTCTCTCATTTTCTCTCTTTTTAAAACTCTAAAAAACGTGGTCCTATTTATAATAAAACACAATCCCAAACAAAGGAGGATTCTAAAAACGAGTCTGCCACACCCTGCACCATGGGTGTGGCAGAGGGTGTGGTGCAGGATAGATTCTGCCACACCCTGCACCGTGGGTGTGACAGAGGGTGTGGTGCAGGACAGATTCTACCACATCCATGACAGACACCACACCAGGGTGTGGTGGAGTCTGTTTTGGGTTAATCTTCACGTTTTTCACAATTCCTTCGCCGTTTTCACATAAGGTACTAAGTGGTAATTAGCCTCCTTTTTTAGATATATGATTGGATTAACGTATCGAAAGATCCGAGTACTAAACAAGCTTAATGGTGTACAATGTTTTGTAATTTGACTGGATTGGATCGATAAATAATGTTGGGTGCTGGAATTCTGAAAAAAGAAAAACTAGTGTGCATAAGTCTTTTTATTTGTTTATTGAAAATCAGGTTTTTGGGCAAGCCTGTATATGCATGTATAATGAATATTTCCTTGTGAGTTCAAACATACTAATTAGTCAAATTACGGAATATTCAGCTATAGAATAATTACTGTATAGCTTATCATCCGTATATGCACCCCCTAATCAGGCTACGTCCTATGGCTATTTGCTGCAGATTATTGTATATTTCTTTCTCCATAAAGGCACAATAAGACATGGCCCCCACGTGTACCAAGCTTGAGCGCCATGGAGATTTGACCAGCAAACATAATGAAGCTTACTTGAAAAACAACCCTCATTCCGATTTAAGGAATAACAACACCCAGGCAAAATTACCCTGCATCAGGTCTAGTAATGTATCCATCTTTGATTCATTCTTTTTCAAATGGGGCCTTTCAGTTTCTGGTAACTGGACATATACGCTAATTTATTTATTCCTTTATTTCGATTAGTTGAGAAATTACTTGTGCTCATTTGTATGCCATGATTGTTGTTACAGACATTCGACTTATTTCTGTTCATTGAATGCAATTTCGAGCATCCTTTGCTTGTTCATAACCTCTTGCCTATGAAGCATCATTCACGTAAGGTTGATATTAGGGTATTATAGACAAACTTGGGAATGCTGAAGTTTCACAACCACACAATTTCGGCCAACAATGGCTACAAGTGAGAAACAGATCATATTTTTCAAGAAGCCCCCTCATAAAAAAAGGTCAACAAAAGAGACCTCTCATTATGACCGCTAATGAAACCATTGATCTTATATTGTAGTTTTCTTCTTCAAATGCCCATATATACATTTTCACAGATTTGGTAGTCGAACGGGAAAAATAGGGAAGAAATCATTGGATAACGTAAACCTCGAACCTTTGTGTAATTAGTCTGGAATTTTGATGCAGACATCTGATCAAATGTATGAAGAACGCACCTTCACTAGAAGACTACTGGTTTCATTAGTTATCATGGTAGAAATGTTTTTTTTTTTTTTTTTTGATTTCTTGAAAACATGATGTAGCGAAGGGGGTTTGTTGCAACATGATATTGTTGAATATTGAGGTCTCATCTAAGCAGCAAAATGAAAAGGGTGGATGGGTGTAAGCATAAGTGAAGAAAACTTAAAAACTTGTAAGCGTTGATCATGGTTAGTCGGAACAATTGGGATAACTTTGTGAAGTTCTAAACTTTACTGAGTTATGAAACTATGATATTATGTGGTCTTCACTGGATTTTTTTTTTAGCATATTACTCTTGTGATTCTGACAAAGATGAGTTTCTATCTCCTGCAATCAACTTCAACAGTATCTCATCTTATCTTGTTTCATGTCATATTGTTCTTCACTATAATCTTATCTCTATCAATAGTTTATGTCATCTTCACTCCAACCGACCATTCTTTTCATTCACATAAGAATCTTTCCTTTACGTTCTTATTGTCTCAGTGTTCATTTGTTAACGTAGGATTTGCTGCTTTAACCTCTTTTATTTATTAATTAGTATTGATTTCGGTTGATACCCTTTATCTTCTCTACTGTTACGCCATGGGTAGTGCAATCTTACTTTAAAGAGAAGTATAGAAGTTTGTTTTGACTGTGGAAATAGGATTTCAGAATTATGATAAAAATAGAAATTTTCAAAATCCTAACCTTTCCATATTTTGTGGCGAGGTTTTCTGACGAAGTAGGTTTGCTAACTAGACAGTAAACGGTAGACCCCAACAAATTTTTTCTGGAGACAAAAGAAAAACTTTTGACACAAGAGTTTTGTCCTGACAAACTTATTACAGCGGGACCCCTCTTTCCATTGAATTCCCTCGGTCAGGCCCCTAGCGGACGACTGGCAGGGGCAGGGGAGGATCTATATACAGTCCAGGGGGGGCCACGGCTCCCCCAAAATTTTGGGAAAAAAAGATATGATGGTTTCTGTAAAACCTCCTCCCTTAAAAATTAAAATATATTCATTCTTTATCTCAAAACCTATACGTCAAGACTAGCCTTCGAAACAAAATGGAGGATGATTTCCTCTCAGACGCATTAACGGTGTTTATTGAAAGAGAAATTGCTAAAAGTCTGAGCATTGATGCTATCATTGAAGAGTTTGAAAATTTTAAGGAACGTCGAATTCCTTTTAGTTAGAGAAGTTTTAGTTATAAAAAATTAGATGATGCTTATTTGAATATTTTCTACATAATTTTTGTCTTCCTCTTTTGAAATATTTTGGAGATATTGGCGTTGGCTATTATACTCGTTTTGTTTGGGTTGTGATGTATCTCTTGTGAATAAAATTGCATTAAGAAATTTTTTTATCTATCTTTTGTATGCGGCCCCCCCAAAACTAAAATCCTACATCCGCCCCTGACGACTGGTGACCGGAAAGGTTAACATAACCTTGGCCATTGCTTTTGATGCTTTTTGGATGATGACCAACACCACCAAAAAGAGGGGAAGGAAAAGGAGCCCACAGTGATTAAAAGTTTGCATCTCTGCGTCGGATAGTCACGTATAGGGCTCTCTTCAATCTTTGTAAAGAAGGTGGCCACTTGGCCTCCCCCTGTCGTATCACCAAATTGCGGATAGCCCCCCTGCATTTCTAGTGGTGCGGATAAGCCCCCTGGATTCTCAACTCCGTTAGTTTCACGGTAAGATGGGGGCTTTATGAACTGAAACATATGAGCTTCATAAACCATTACATATAACTAATTTAAATGTGAAAGCTCACGGAGTTGAGAATCCGGGGGTCTGTCCGTAATTTGGTAATGGTTTGGGGGTGTATCTGAAACTAGTCCTACTATAAATTATCAATACGTCCAGTGCATCTCATCAACACAATGTCCTCATCATATGGAAAGGGGTGATTGCAGGGGAATAACATAGCATAAAAGGGGAGGCACTTTCTGAGACTTGCACTTCGTGCTAAAAAATGTCAAGATTATGTCGACACCCCTTTTCTTCAGTCATTCCATCCTTTTCCTAAGTGGCCCTTTTGAGTAAAGTTACAATTGGACGGTCATTTTTTTTATCATAAATAGGAGAAAGCAAGAGAAAATTGTTGCAAATGGAAGTCCCAACTTCTCACTGTAGGCATTGGTCTAGTGGCACCCTTTCATGTAAAAAAAAGCTTGAGAGTGTGATGATTAGTGATTGCTCTACTTGTATTTGTTTCTGATGGGAATATGATTAATACTAAAGAATGATCGGGGATTAGCGGGTGTTGACATGACAGAATCCAAACAGCAGAACTATAGGATGTGTTTGGCTTCTAGAGATATGTAACTGTTTTCCGATGACTAGGTTTCTTGAATACATAGAAGCGTGTCAGAGGAGCTGCGGATTGGTCCCAACCAAAAACCCTCTGCCGCGCAAGTCAGTGTAAGGATTCTCAATCGAGAGACTTGATCTATTACTCATCATTCTTTTGGCGGAGGTAGTTAGGCCCCTGACCATGCTAAGGCATAAATCATGTTAACACATTGATTTTGTTTGGATTGTAGCTCTATGTAGATGCTGATCAGAGAGAGACTAGATTTCAGAGTCTAGATGTATAAGCAGTTGGGCTTGGGTCATAGGAGTACATCCTAGCAATAATTGGTACAACATTCCCTATGAGATCTTTGCTTTTTTAAGGGTTAATTGCAAACATACCCCTTGTAGTATCATCTAATTGTAAAGAGACCCATTATCGTTTTATTTGTTGCGAATAGAGTAGTTTAGTTCTACTTGTTGCAAATAGACCCTCATAGCAAAAAAAAAAAAAAAAAGGCTCTTAAAATTGTTAAAAATATTTGAGGAGACAGATAGAACCCCCTTAAAAAAAACTTCTATTGGTGATGATAGACACCCAATTGCTTTTTTTTCGAACTTTTAAAGGAGTCGTAAAAGTTTACTTAGGGGGTTGTATTTGCATTTGGGCCAATACTACAAGGGGTCTATTCACAACAAGCAGAACTACAGGAGGTCTATTTACAACGAATACAACT